ACCAGATGTCTGCTACGGACAACTGCACCTTTGATGACTTCTTAAAACTCACTTGGAGCTAGGCCATCAATAAAATACTCAATCCACACATCCTACTCTCAAACAGTAATCTCTTGCTATCATTTTTCCCATTTGTTCCCATTCTTTGATCCTTCCTGGGTTTTCAGATCCCCATTTCCTTTCCTTCCTCTGTCTGTCTTTATTTCCTTTCATCATGAGCTTATAACACCAAATGCCTTCTTGCCTCTATCTCTAATTTCCATGTTCTAGTTTACTCCCATTACACTCCGGCAAAGCTCCAGGCCAGAAACCATTGTCTATGTCCAAATTTGTACTGATGACCTCTGTTGGTAAAAATCTGCTTTGAAGACAGACACATGAAAGTAACTGTTCTTTTGATACTCCAACCAAACACAATGCACGCAGAGGATCTAAATCCCCTGCTCAGAGAATGCCCATAGGCTGCTCAGTTTCCAAGTGGGTTTCCTAGTAAGGGGTACAAGGCTGTGTCTGACATAAACTAAGTGACTAGGTCTTTGGTCACCTCCCACTGGGGGGTGTAGCCTTGCCAGGCCACAGAGGAAGATGATGCAGCTAGTCCTGATGAGACCTGATAGGCTAGGGTCAGATAGAAGGGGAGGAGGATCTCCCCTATCAGTGGACTAGGGAAGGGACATAGGGGGAAAAAAGGGAGGGTGGGTGGGATTAGGAAGAGATGAGGGAGGGAGCTACAGCGGGGATACAAAGTGAATAAATTATAATAAATAAATAAATTAAAAAAATAAAACTCTGTTCTTTCACCACAAATGGTCCACCACCTTATCCAGAAATATTTTTGTTATGTTTACACATTTTGTTTCTTATTCTTGAATCTTTCCTAGCTGAAATTTGTTCCTTTCAGCATTTCTGCTTCTACTCAGCAGAGGCCTGAATTTCCTACTTTGTTAAGAAAACGGTCATTATCAGTGTTTGCTTTCTTCCGGTCACTGAGTCTGGCGTATTAAGCTTTCATCACCCTGTACTTCATGTCCCTCTACTATGAAAGAATAGATGTCATTGCTCAAATTTAAAATTCATTGCTCTGCCCATGCTAGGATGCTATTTATGCTGACTTGTTGACTACCCTTTCCTTCAGCTAATACTTAGGGGTTTTGTTTTCTTTCTTCTTCTATAACGGTAACATCGAGAAGCAGCTTGCAATCTTTAAACCTTTACAAAAGCAATAACAATAACAAAAACCCAAATCCCACCATTGTGGTACATGTCTGTAATCCTACCCCCAGGGAGGTTCAGGCAAGAGGCTCGGGAGTTCAAGGCTAGTCTGCTATGTAGTGAGTTTGAGGCTGTCTTGGGCTACAAGAGACTCCATCTTAAAATTAAATAGTCAAAAGAAATAAAGAAAGATCTTTGGTTTTTCAGTTCCTTCTCACTTTGCACTCACTCTTTGACCTATTATAATAATATGTGCTCTTTTAAACTCCAAAAAAATTATTTTTTCTAGGAGCACTGACAGCTTCTGTGTTGATACATACAACAGGTATATTATATATCTGAATATTTGTCAGTATTATTTGCTCTTATTTTTTCCTTAAATGTGTTAAAGAAGACTTCAAACACGGCAAACATACATTGATAAATGGACTAGTGTCAATCACTCAGCTTCAATAAATACCAACACATATCCAATCTTATTTATCTGTCTTCACAAGCCTTCCCTTTTTCAAATGGTTTATCAAGAGCAAATTACTGACATCCGTACAGAAAATATACTTATATTTTTCTATAAATATTCTGGTATGCATCCTTAAAAAGTAAGGCCATTTAAAATTATTATAAGATCATTATCATATCTAAAGACTCACGAATGCCATTAAGAAGTAGTCATATATGTTTGACAGCTTTCTAAACCTTTTGCTTTTGGCAGAAGGTTTGTCATACAAAAGCTGACAGTCTTAAGTAGGGTTTATGTAAGATCTCTATTTTGAGTTATTTAAAAAGTCTCAAGTTTGGTTTTATTCTATTCATTTTGATATACAGTTTCCACTTATATTTGTTTTTTATTTGTTTTCGTTTGTTTTTAGCTTTGTTGGGAAAATGAAATCCGTTGTCCTGTCAGTCTCCCCACAACCCTGGCAGGGCTGCCTGCATGCATAGGTATGGTGTTATTTAACACGTAACGTCTGTGTTTCCTTTTGTGCTTAATCTCAGAGAGCTGAAGAGCAATAAGATTCAGGACTGATTTTCTGCACAAGCCCTCTACAAGAGTGATGCACCTACTACCTTAAGTACAAGAATTCATTCCAATTTTTGTGATATTATCAGATGTAATCATTACTGGAATCATTAGGAGTAACACAATAATATAATTTAAATTTGTTTGATATTTCTGTATGGCCGGGAATATATAGATAAACTGTCATCAACCGTGAGTAACCCTGAAGCACAAATCTTTCAGAAAAGATAGAAGAAATGTTTCCTTCTTTCTCTTACTAAGTTTCAAAGCAATGAGCTTACTTGTCCAGTCTTTTCCAAAGGTGAGCCATAAAAATTTTTATGTTGGTTTATTTTCTTCAATGCACTCACCACATGGTCTTAAAACTATTACCCTTATTGGTGTCTGGGCCAGAAGATCTTACTTAGCATGTCTTCCAACTCCTTTGACAAAATCTTTGTAGTTGGGGGCACAAAGTTACACGTATATCCTGCTTCAGAGGAAGAATGAGACAGTCCTGCTGGCTCCCTGGTTTATTAAAGGACCTCACATTTAGGAAGGACACTTTGAGATCAGGACAGACTTTGCCATGGGGGTGGTCATAGTTTCTAGATCTTTCTTGAACATAAAACAATGATTTTTTTTATTAAAAGATAATAACACCCCAAATTCTTAGATACTTTTAAATCAGCAGGGCTAGAGAAACTTTGCTTCACTCAATGACTCTGTAGCTCCTTTCAACCGTCTGATTTTATCTCAGTTCTCAATAACAGTAGGAGAGTTATTTGTTTTACATGGACATAGAAACCTAACGTAAGAACAGTAGTGGCTAATGTCTACCAGTCATGTTAGTACAAGAAATGGCTTAAGGGTGCTTTTTTTTTCTTTCCCTGATATTTTTTTCCCTTGAAATAGATTCCTTTATGAATGTGTACCCAAGTGTGGGGATTAAAGCAACTTTCTCAGTATAGGGATGTCTACCATCACTTTGAAGTACACTAGAGCGATTCATATTATGTTCTTTTAAATTTTCTTATGAATCAAATTTTAAGTTTGCCTTATTTTTCTAATCAAGAAAATACTTTAATGGCTCCAATGTCAAATGTACAAAGCAGAGAGTATATTCAAAGAAATATGATTTTTTTTGTTAAATAGATAATGCATGTAGGTCATTCATCAAAGTTTCAAAACTATATGAACAAATAGAAGAAACGACAAAGTATTATTTGCGTTTCTTTCTACCAAGCTCTTCTGATTTAGATATAGTTTCTAGAGTTCAACTCATAACTCATGACAGTGTGGAGGAGGCATCATTTTCTACCTTTCTTTTCACAGTGCCCCATCTGATTTTTCAGCCTTTTTCTCTTTCACTGTCTGCTCTTCAGTGGACATCTTTTCTTATTTTGACTTGTGTATCTTTTGCATGGGTTCCCTAATGTGAGAATGGCTTGTTAGGGTCTACAGTATTTTTTAGATCTTTCCAAATGATTCCCCATGATTTTGTACCGTTTTGCATTTCCAGAACCAGATGTATAAGAATGGCTGGTTTCATATGGGAAATTGTTAGAGTCTTTTCATCTGATATTTGGAAGCAGATTTTTGAAGGTGGAATTCACTTGAGTTTCTCTTATAAGTGAGGCTGTGACTATTTCCAGACAATGAAGGGCCACGTGTGTCATCCTAACACTGCTACCTCCCTATAGACCCGTGAACACATCTCTACTATTCCTTGACTTGCTTTCAGCTCCCTTCCCTGGTTCCACATCTTTTGCCTACCCTCGAGGAACTTCTCCACTGAGTATCCAGGTCTTCTTCTGGGACTATGTTTGTAATCGCTCTTATGACTGCTACTAGATATTCAACTACAGCCCAAGCCCCCCCCTTCTTCTGTCCTTCATGAATGGCTTGCTGAAGGCCTTCCACTACACTTCTCAGGCACCTCAAGCTCCGCTTGTGTAAAGCTTTTTGCCACCATATCCTTCTCGGGCATGCTTTTCTACATGCAGTGAAAGCTACCACAGGTAATGAGGTTCTTTGTGTGCAGACATGTTTGTATGGATGTGAGCATGTGGATGTGTGGATATGTGTAAGTGTGATTAACTCTTATGTGTGCTTGTGTGAAGGATAGAGGTCTGTGCTGGGTGTTTTCCTTCTTGTTATTCATTCTCTGCCTTAATATGTTGATAGAGGGCCCCCCGCTGAACCCAGAGATTCCCATTTTGGCTAGGCTGGCATCTCCCCAGACTCCCTCAGTTTTGCTGACTCTGTCTTACAGTTCTTCAAATGGTACTTAAAGCACAAGTAGCTTATATCTCAATATATCAGTTGAGGAACACCTAAAGGCTCAAGAAACCAAAATAGACCAAAAAAAAAAAAAAAAAAAAACCAAAACAAAAAAACCCAAAAAAACCCTCAAACAGTCAAATAATGAGACAAAGTACACTAACTTTTTTCCTGTAGATATGAATGTGTGTAAGTAAATGGTACAGATCCCTGAGAGATTAACAGCAAGATTTGTGTGGCTTAACATTAATAGAATTGGTGAAGGAGGACTTTGGAGTCATCATAATATGAATAATTTGAAAATCTTTTAACAATTAGCTTGTTTTTAAGTATAACTCCAACACTTATAATAAGTATGGACTTTGAAAAGGCCTGGACAAATGAAGCTTCCCAGTAGGTTGTCTGAATCTCAATGCCAGGTACAGGCGTTCTTTGCAACTCCCGCAGAGGGGAAACCCCCCCCCCCCCGTGTATTAGGAGACAGTATCTATAGAGGAATCCTTACCTTTGTGGTCCACAGTTTGACAGTCCAGTCGAATGATGATGTGACAAACAGATGAGAAAAGTCGATGGGGCCCACTGCCATGTGGCAGTTAATACCTGTCACTGGCCCTTGGTGACCTTCAAAGACCTCACCGATGCCTGCTTTGCTGCAGAGAGCAAATGGGCAGCATTTCAGTGACCTTTGCAAAGCAATGACTGATTGAACATAACAGAGCTCACCTCTGCATACATTAAAACAACCATACACAATCAGGAATAAAAGCACTTCACTGCGACTCTGAGAAAAACACACTGATGATTAAGAAACACTGAGGATTTAATAATACATTTTTTATAATGTATCTATTGCCTGTGGTCTCACAGACGTTGGTACTGTCTGGGAGCTGTTACGGTGGAACAAATGCACTTGAGTCTCAGAAGCTTTATAACTTATGATGCAGTCGCTGCTGAGATACATAGGCCTTGTTTGAATGCTCTTAGTTCACTGGCGCTACAATCCAATACCTCTTAGAAAGAATAGTTGTTTATTCCTTCTACGGAAGTTCTAAAATTATGTTGACATGTCTAAAACATGTAACATCTTATGAAATAATTCACAGGGTATCAATATAACATGGAAAAATGATATGTTCATTTCCATGGAAACTGAAAAGCGGTTAGAGATTCATTTTGTAAATTCCATAAGGAAAGCTATTTTACATTTTTTCCTGCCCAGTGTCTAGCATACAATAAATGCTCTATAAATATTTGTTGCATTAAATAAGAAAAGAAAGAGAGACAAACTTAAGCTCCTTAAAAAAAGCACACATGAGAACTGGGGATGTACATTTTAAAAGTCATCCTTAGGCATGAATTATTTAACTGAGCTAGGATTATTACCAGCCTTCTTTTTATTATGTAATAATCTGCATGCAGTCATACACAATTAGGAAACTCTTAGAAAAATACACCAACAACATTATATTTTAAAAATTGCTACGCATGAGGTTATAAATGTGACAAGCACGTAGGGATTGTGGAATCTCATTATTATGTCACTAAAAGCAAAAATGAATTCAGTTAGTAAAACATTTGGGCCCCAGAGCACCAATAAACGTCAATGTGCTGAGTAAAGTTTGAGCAAAGCACTGCTGAGCGTGTTCCATGTAACAAGCACTCAGAGACTGTGCCCAGTGAAACTGCTAACAGCACTTCCAACACACGATCAGCAAAACGTCCTCTGGTGAGTAGCTGAACTTCGAAGTGGCCCCTGGTGGGACTCCACTTGCTCTTAGCAGCATCCTGAAAGGATTTACAGGGTGCAACATGAGGACCTCGCTTAATTCGTGGAAGTCGATTCGCACGTATGATAGGTAAAAAAATAAAATAAAATAAAACCCCCATTTTGACCTTACCAAGATTTGCATTTTATGTTTCAGATGGGCGGACCAATGTCAAAGGCAAAACCAAAGTTCTAGCAAAGGCATTTGGGGTGTGAGTCATAGGCCCCTTCTTCTGTACAACAATGCACATTTTTGTCCTGGTTGCGATTGCCACAGAAGGAAAATACCCGTTGTTTAGAAGGCGATTCATTTACAAGATGTGGGAAAAAAAAATCAGAATGTGCATTCCAGCCTGTAAACACCCAGAGCTGAGGCTGGGTTGGGTAAACCCGAAGTCTGTCTTGATCCACATGTACATGGAGAGAGAACTGTGGCTACACGTTTGGCTCGCTGGACCCTGTGTCTCCCGTGCCGATAATGGCATTTTATGAGCGTTGCAGGCATTTGTGCACTTGTGGGTAACACTGCCGTCACTTTCCCGACGACAAGAGCCTAGTTTAAATGACGCTCGTCTCCTTTAAGCTTCCAGCAATGCGCTCTGTAAAGGGGGAAAGTGCAGCAAGAGTTTGAGCAAATTAATAACCTGATGAGCTCTTTTTATGCTTGGTGCGTGGGCTTAGTCAAGTTCTATTGTTGTGGAGATGTTGACATGGACCTGTATGGCCGTCTTCAAAAGTTATTTTTATGTCCTCTGAGCAGGGCAAACACTACTCATTTGTAAACAAAAACCGTGGAAAAACATCACAGCTTGTGCTATCAGAGTGGAAAAATTCATGTAGCTGAGCTTAAACAACTTGTGATTCCTTGTTAAATCTAAATAGCCCGTGATAAGTTTGAGAGTTGAAAAATCAATTGACCAAGAACTATGAAAGCAAAAGAGAAATTAAGTATCAGTGTGAAAACAGGGATCCTTTCAAAAGAGGCAAGGCCACGTGTTAAGTCTGAGTGGCTGGAATTCACCTTGTTAGGGCTGTTTTCAGAGGCATCCGCCACTCTCCCCAGAGAGCTGAACAGTTTTGTGTACTGTTTCAACCCTTCTGACTTCGAGGGAGAGTCTTAAGGTACGTCTTTGATTATTTAGATATTGTCATGTCTTTATTTCTTATTTATATTTTCAGTCGTTCACCTATTACAAGGTACTATGACAGGATGTCAAAGATGGAATGGGAATAGTTTAGCAATAGAAATATGCTAGATAAATGACTGATTGAAAAAAGATGTGATGGATGCTATTGCAGATGTATATAGAAGAATATATGAAATAATTAACCTTGAATGCCTATGGTCCTCTCCTGCTTTTCCTACTTCACTTGTCTTGATGGCTCTTATCATCTTAAGCAACTATCTACTTTTATGTCAGTCTTTATTCTCAACAAGGACTGTATTCTTATGCTGGTATTTGATGCAGAGTGAGTTCTTAGCAAATACTCCTTAAAAGAATGAATTGACAGAACAAGGTGAAATCCCATAAACTGTAATGGAAAGAGAGTTGGAAGACTTCAATGCAGAACTATGCCTGTGCTGCATGTTTAATGCTGATGGCTTAGACAAGGAGGACAGAAATTCAAGACCAAGTAGAAAGCAAAAGAACTGACTCATGAAGGCACATAGGACAGCAAGAGATGGGGGTTAATAATCTCTGAGGGGCACACGGTTGGAGCTTGATGCTATGTGCAAAAGAAAAAAAAAAGAAGAGAAAAAAAAAAGGATGAGGAGTATGATAGGCTCCGTGAAGAAGTCGAACATTTCTCTTCAATACGATGTGAAGTGGTCAAAGGTTTGAATGTCATTAGACAGATGTGTGCTTTAAGCTAATACAGACTTGAGGTTGTACATTGCATTCCTTCAGAAATAACTATCTTAGAAAGCAAGGTGGTTATAATCTACTGAATTGCAAGACTTTGGAAAATAAGGACCATGTCATCAGAAAGAAAACAGAAGAAAATCACCTTCCATGACGACAAGCTGTGTAGACGGTACCTTCCTCGCTGCCAACCACGAAGTTGTTGACATCTCCCGTTGGGAAAGCCATTCCCGTAACAGCGACAGGCTTGGACTTATTGTACACCAGCTCCATGCTCTCCTACCAAAACACGGTGTGGTTACATTTCCATCTGTCAACTCCTCGCCATGCCAAAGATAGCATGGAAAAATCATTTGGCTAAATCGTCTGTTTGCTTTTCACACAGTGCTACAAAAGACCCCCACTGTGCTAGAAGCCAGACCATACTGCCCCTGACATCCACGCTGCTCTGTATCTCTGGTTTCAGGCCGGCTGGATTTCATCAGCATGTGCTGCTGCTTCCCCAGCCAGGCGGAGTTGACAGGTGAGAATTTTCAAACTAATGGTGCAGAAACTAAAGATAATACTGTAATGATTACACTTGTCAGCTCCAGGCTTTAATAAAACACACAATACCCTTGTATTTACAAACATTTTCAAAATCAATTGTTCGTGAGAATCCACGTGTATTAATATCAGATGTACTGAGCACATTTGTCACAGAGGGACCGTGGGTCCTTCGTGAACCGCCAGGAAGTTGTCACTCAGATCACAAAAACCAGAACTCAACAGGAAGGAGACCTCACGAAGGGTAGCTAGCTGTTGGGTATAGGACCTAAGCACACACAAAAAGATAATTAAACAAGGGCTTAAGATAGCAATGAGTCTTTATTATGATAAAATGATTTGTTAAATTGAGAGTGTATCAAAAGACACACACGCTGCTGGGGGATGAAGAGGTGGCTTAGTGGTTAAGAGCACTGGCTGTTCTAGAGGACCTAGCTTCCATTCCCTGCACCCACACTTACAACTACCTGAGACTCCAACTCAAGAAGATCTGATGCCCCTGACCTCCATGGACACCTCCAGACAGATGGGATACACTCAGACACACGTGACTTAAATGTCTAGAGAAGGATGATCTGCTAAATTAAGTGTAGTGACAGTAAAGGAGAAGTCCCAAGAATGCCCCTGGTTATTTCTGGCTATTGACATCAAGCAGCCTATACTACACAGGCACAAACTGTTCCTAGTTGTACAGGAACTCAGACTTTCCTGTGCAAACTAACCAAGCTGTTCTGGCCACAGATTCCATGAACAGGAAATTCTTGCTGACAGGATGTAGTCACACCGACCCCAGGGCCCCTTCTCATACTGACCATTCATGACATCCCTCCACGGAGAGCACCATAGCGTGCTGATTAAGGGGGAGCAGGCCTTGACAGTGACGGGGAAAACAGGAACGTATGATGTTCTACCCTGTCTCAAAAGTTAGTGACAAGGAAGGAGCTGCGTTGGCCACTCACTGGGTGGGGGTGGGACGTGGAGAGAGAGTGGGGAGACAGGCAACTGTGGGATACCCCATTCGTCTCTGCTGTCCGTGGAGACTGGGTCACAAAAAACTCTGTCTCCATGCCGAGCCAGGGTCTGTGGGCATGCTAACACTAATAAAAACAGGCTCGGAGCTCCCACACCACTGGCTTAACCCAAACAAACACGTGTTTAATCAGCAAAATGGGCAATTAAAAATCCCCAAATAGAGGGTTTGCTCTGATATCTGTTTATAATCTCCATGCTTTTAAAAGAAAACAACACATTGCCGAGAATTTTAAGACAAACTCATAAACTATCGGCACACAACGGCAGGCCCGTCTAAGGACAGGCAAAAAGCAGGAACCTGAATGGCAAGCTGCTTATTGGCCTTCCCTCCCCGCCGCTGAAATTATGTGAAGAGCTTAGTAGTCTCTACATCTGTTGAGACTTAAAGGAGGTTCTTTACAGTTTCCATATGTCCTTGTGTACCTCGAAACTAGTGCTCTTCAGAAAGGGAGCAGGAGACATTCTAGAGCTATCGTTCCAGGGAAGGGAGACAGGAACGGTGAGACTGAGAATTATCTTCTGGAAATTATTCTACGATTTTTCTCACGTGTCTGCCAAAGACCATCCCTGTGAACTCTTGGTGGTTTTAAGTCGGGGGGAGAGTGCTACACTTTTTCACACACAGACCTGTGGAAAGCATGGGCATGTCTGCATGCATGCTCCCACACATGTGCGTGTCACATGCGCGTGTCCAGATGCCTGCCTCCAGCATTCTTCTCTACTCTGGTCCTTTGTTTGGCTTCCGTTGCTGTGATCAGTAGTGGTTTGGAAACACTGGAACCTTTTCATTTTCAACTTCTCACTTATTGAGCAAGGAATGGCAGGAGCCATGCTCACAAACATGCCAGAGAGGAAAACAGGCGGTTGTCTAGGGAACAGGAACAAGCAACAGTTTGGATTTCTGTTTTGCTAGGATTCTTTTCCTGCAAGGCAAGTCCCCAGAATGGATTGCTCTGCTGAGCTCCAACTTCATTTGCATTGCTTCCCAATGCTGTAGAGTGAGTACAATTCGCACTGCAGGCAACTTCAGCAATGACCAGGCTTTAAGATGGATTATTTCATTTCATTTGAAACTGACCTACGATTAACATATTGCCATAATGACATAATTTGTGGTAGGGGAAATAGGTTTGGCTTCAAGGGCAGACTGCTGAAACCAGGCCTTTGGGCCTTTCGAAGACGTGTCCCTAAGCAGGTAGGCCTTTGCACTAGAAGACTTTAATGTGTAGTTTAAAACAGACACACCTGTGGGGTTGAGAGCATGTCCAGGCTCCAGGAACACATCTTGCCATCAGTAGAGACAGTGATGAGGTTGTGAGCATTCTGGGTCCCAACAACATTGACACAGTACACAGGGTGCTGTAAAAACATCAACATGGTGGTCAGCTGCTGCTGGAAGGGAGATGATTGCTTCTGAGTGTCAAGCACATTCCTCTGAGACCAGGGCTACAGAGTCATACCATCTGCCTAGCACTGGAGCTCCTAGCCCTGGGCCGTTTATGAGCCTGATTTCCATAGAAGTTCTGTAGCAACTACTCGTAGTGGAAACACTTAGCTTTGCCTTTCAAAGTCTGATGCAATGCAACAGGACCGAAGGTAATGATAACAGATGAGTGTCGGTTGGGCAGGAGCAAGAAGGGAGGGGAGTTTGGATTACACGAGTAAGCCCCCACTGCACAGCATAGCTTTTAAGCTCAGTGTGACTATGAAGAGAGACAGTCTTCAAAGATATAAAAATACAGTCTTGGAAGGACTATGTATCACCAAATCTGTAGCTTAAGGTAGTCTAGCCAGTGCCAAACACTTGATAGCATTGTCCTTAAAAGTGATGAATGCTCACTGGGTTAATTTGAGGAGGGGTATGTTTGTGGTGGACTTATTGACACAATATATTTAGGGTGATAGAATTAGGGTTTTCTTTTATGTTATTTCAAAATGTAAGATGAGAGAATAATGTAAATGTAAGATTTTCAGAATACGAGTTGGAGTTGTATGGAGGCTTAAATTTGGCTTCAGTCTTAACAAAGGTTACTTATACACTCTGGCAACTAAGTGAGATACACTAGCCCTCTGTCAGAACTCTAGAAGCTTATCCTGCTCTGTAGAATTCTACACGGTAGGATAAGAACATTTGCAGCTGCTCACTAAACACTAAATGGGAGGTTAGCATAAGGAGAATCTCACAGCAATTGGGGTTAGATTTCAGGCATCTTAGCCATGAGTGGCCAAACCACAGCCTGCTTGATGCATCTCTGTGCAAATAGCTGACAGTTTAAGCTGCACTCTCGATGAGTTAGTGTCCATAATACCTAGCCACAACTACAATGAACCAATTTTCAATACTTGGAAGCTGGTATTACAGAAAGGATGGTTCTGAGACTATTATTATCATATAAATTCCTGGTCAGAAAGAGCAGCAATAATTGTTGAATGGAGTTCCTTGGCTGCCTCTTCCTAGAAGTCATCCAAGCTCAGCTGCAACACCTTTCTTAAAAGGCAGTCAGTGTCAGCATTAACTACCGAGAGCTTTCCTTCTGGTAGCAGGGACAAAGAGAGGCAGTGGAGCTACTTTCAGAGCACTTGACTCAAAACAGCTATCTGAACATTTTTAGATGACTGTTTTATACCCTCCACTTTTAATTCCTCTGTCTTTCTTCAGGCTAGCCATCATTAATTCCTTCTATTCTCCTTTGGCTATCCAATTATCCACATTTTCTTTGGTTCAGTCATTTTCTGTTGAATACATTGTCTTTTATCAGAGTTCCCTAAGAGTAAATGTTCTGAGAATGATACAGAGCTATCTAACCAAGATTTTGTCTAGATTGTGGAGAATTCTATGTAGCAATGATCTGTCATTTTAATACATTGAAATATAAGGCATACTAATGCATCACAAGAGCACACGTGCTTTTTCTGTTCAAACATTCTATCCTCTTCTAGCCCTGTTGATAAATAGGTAGCAACTCTCTATGTCTTTTTCATTCCATGTTTCTACTGACACCTTTGCGCGTATTGGCTTTAGGGGATCCATGCAATGGTAAGTAGAGCAGATATTTGCAACTAAACATTATTTTAGTCAGGTTTCTAAATAACAGAGTGGTCGGGAAGACTGCCGCCTACAGTCTTCCTCAAGCCTTTGGTATTTTGGAACTGAAAGTATTGTGTCATCAAACTTAAGTCATGAGCTACACAGCAAGCCAAGGTCAGTGTGGGGAGCAAATGGAAAAATGGATGTAACAGATTCACCTAAAAATATCAGACTTAGTAGTAGTCCTGAGTATGTGTGGATGAATATGCAGAAAGCTGCTGTTTTGACTTGATCTCTGAAGGCAGTGCACTGACCTCAGCTTTCTTTATCACTTTGGGTGAAAAGCATGCTTCATTATTATAGACTTGCAGGCTACCTAGGTGGTTTTTTTAAATCAAGAGTCAAATGGAACTTTATTAACCACAGAGATTCAACACATATAACCCGAATGACACTCAGTTCAGAAGCCTAAAGGTGCAAGAAGTAGAGAAGATAGGTTGACTAGAGCTCTAGAGCCAAAGGACCATGTCCACTTAATGGAAAGAAAAAGACAGAACCTCCACTTAGTGGAAAGAGAAAGGGGGGAAAAGCAACAGTATAGCTCATTTTTTTCCATAGAAATGCCAGACTGTTTTTATTTATTGTAAGAATAAACATACTGTGTGGCAGAAGGATTTTGTTTTAATTATGATTTCCTGTTGTCCCAAATACATGTGTGTGGTGGGTGTGAAAGAGAATTAACCAGTCATCTGTGGAGAGCCTTTTTTTTTTTTTTTTTTTTTTTTTTTTTTGATCCTGGTACTAATCAGCCAGGCAATGACGGAAATTAGAAAACAAACACAAAACAAAATGTACACAGTGAGCTATGGATTAGACAAAAATGCAACAAGGGAGAGAAAAAAAAATTGTTTGTGTTTTATTTTCTAAGAGAAATAATGCCACTCAGCTTGATACTAGCAGCATTTTAGTCATGCTGGCCACATTGTTCATTACTTGGAGAAGAAATGGTAAGTCTTCCTGAATTTGGAATGCCCCCAAAAGCTTTTTGCTAAATCTTGTAACAGTTGGATTTATAATTTTGAAAACATTGGAAGCTTGTTCCCAAACGCGCCAGACATCCACAGAGAGCCAAGGAGAGGTTTTGTGCTGCTCAAGGAGACACCTGCACAGGGCTGGTCTTCTCCCAGGCCACAATTTTCTGTTATTAGTTTGGAGAAATAGGGTAGGCAAGATCAATTTCCCAAGATTCCCAACAACCATTTTTACCTGCATGAGTCTTTGGCCCCAGTCAATCAAAATTAGGACTGACTTGGCATTTGTCATTTCCCATTGTCAAACCTAACAAGAGCGGGAGACTTCCTATCCGCCTCATCTCAGCTAAGTGGCCAGCCACCCATTTTCTAACCTGGGGCCAGTAGATGAAACAACCCAGCCACCAAATTAAGGAAATCGGATACAATCCTGGCGCTGTATTCTTGGGCATAATTTGGGCATTTCAGAGAAGGAACATCAGCTACCCTGAACGTCAAGGTAGCGGCGATTGATGGAGACATGCCTGTCTCCTCATCCCTCCTAACAATTGCTCTTCACACCTGTCATTCTCTTAAAGGAAATGACAGAGCAGTTGTCTTGTGAACACTCTGCTGAACCTCTTCTACTAAATTATGGGTAATGGTTTTGAGATGTTGACCTTTAACCCTGGGGATTATACTGTCACTGTGGACTTCACGTGGAGACGCTCCACATTCTGGAATTTAAAGTCATAGTACGCTTCCAAATTGCAAATGGAAAAAGCGTGTTGGCAAAGGTCCCATACAATATCTCTTGGCATGGTACTTATTCTCTGTGGTCTATTTAAAAATATATGTTTGCATCTCAAAATGCCAATGTGAAGAGATTCTTTAGGAAAATAATTATAGGAAAGCTTCCTCACGGATGGCCTCTGCAACATCAAAGGAGACGAACTTCCCATATGCTAGAACTTGAAGACTGTTGAGATGACCGACATGTTTCTCTAAAGTCAGTGCCTTTTACATTTATTTATTTGTTTGCTTGTTTTTTTGAGTCAGGGTTTCTCTGAGTAGCCCTGGCTGTCGTAGAATTCACTGTGTAGACGAGGCTGACCTTGAACTTAGAGATCTGCCTGCCTCTGCCTCCAGAGGGCTGGGGTTTAAAGGCATGCGCCACCACTGCCCAGCAACTGCTTTTTCTTATGTAGTCCTGGCTGTCCTGGAGCACAATATGTAGATCAGGCTGGTCTAGATCTCGTAGAGCTCCATCTGTCTGTGCCTCCTAAGTATAAGCCAATACTTTCTTTTTTTAAGCTCACTTATTTTTGGAAATAGGTTTTGCTCTGTGGTACAGACTGCCCTCAGACTTGCAATTCTCCTATATTAGCTTCTAGAGCTCTAGGCAGAGTTACACAGATTCATACTTTCTCCACTGTTTACTAAGCGGTATTGTCGTCAGTTAGGAACTCAGTCCTCATAAATTGGTTACTTCTGACTTAGCCACACTGTTGTCCTCTCTCAGGTAGGGATGGGGTAGAAGCTTGACTTACTGTGTGTGCAGCAGCTGACAAGGGGGTCCGCTGGACAGGGGTCCTTCGATGACTGCGATTGTCCCAGAGGACAATCTGGCCTGAATAGGTGCCACCAACCACCAAATTAGGATGAAAACGGGCAAAGCAGACTGACATCACAGAGGACTGTGTGGGAGAAGGAGAGAAACACAGTGAATGGTCATTGAATTGTCTCTGTTTTCTTCCCAGACAGAAGATAGCTCATTAGACTTCAGTTCCTCCTAGAGGCCATATAGTAATGTTAATTTGAATTATGAAACAGATAGTAGGGCATTTTATACACCAACACAGGATTTCTTAGAGGTCAGCCAATGTCTTTCCCCCTTGAAATCTAAAATTTGAAGTCTTGGCTATGTTGTTGAATAGGCATAAAACCTATCTTAAACACATCATTGTTCTGTGGTCTATAAAGCTTGCCTTATGGACATTTCCCATGTCTTGAATAAAATTGTGATAGAAACAATATGAATTTTCCACCCAGGCCCTGACCAAGGCAGTTCTTTACTCTGAATGCAGCACAGAGGCAAAGTAATTCTAGCTTCAAGAATTTTAACTTGTTTTTTTTTTATTTTATTTTAATTTTTTGGCATAACGTAGGCTTCTAGGAAGTAGTCTGACCTCCGATGCATCCAGCCTGCTCCTCCTAAAGTTCCCTCACCTCCCATGGGCATTCTCCATGACCTTTTCCTGCCCACTTCAGACAAATTTTAATGCTAGCCTTTGCCTATTTTAACAAGCAGTCAGAAATGGACTTCAATCCAACCTGACCATGCTCTGTCATAATGTCACAGTGTGGCTTCTGGAATTCCACAAAAGACTACTTGGCACTGCAGCTCATGTGAAACAAGTTAGTTGAGGCACTTAAAGGCAGGCAGGTCCTCCCTCTGCTACATTCCTTTTGATTCCTGAAGCACTTTCCATATTGCATTTATAAACTGGAGTCGTGCTTTCAATAAACACATTTCATTCCTTCAATTAAACTCAATGAACAGTTGCTGAGAACTTACTAAATATAAGGAAGGCATTATACCAAGAAGGATGTAAATAAAGGCACAGTGAATGGCCTCAACAGATGTGAGCTCGCTAAAGGGAGTGAAGAAACATGGGTTCAGATGAGCAGAACAACTGTTGGCGAAGACTGTGCCTTCATGTAAAGCAAGAAAAGGTGCCCCTGGCGTAGACACCACGATGACGGCACTCACATGCCTTGGCAAATAAAGAAGATGCAATTTGCTTCTCTGTTGCGTCTTGGGTGCACCATCCTGGTGCAGGATACAGTTTATACACTAAAGGAGTAGCCAGGAATGTAATACAGGATCCCATTAAACCACAGGTGTGTGTCTGTGTGTGAAGCAGCTGAAGGTCCCTGGAAGGTTACATTTAGTTAGATGAAGGTGGTGGGGTAGAAAAGCCAGGGTACGTAAAAATGCTTCATGGAAGGAGATGTATTAGACCTTGAAATTTTTGTGAAAAACTGAGTAGAGACAGAAAAAAAAAAAAAAAAGAATTGCATTTCAGAGTAATGAGATAACAAGGGTGAACTGAAGATTGCTGACCAGTCTGAGACCTGACTGGGCTGGAAGGGGCCATGGAAGAGGCACAGATTTTGAGGGCTCAAGCATCAAAATGTTGTCATTGGTAAAAGCAAACAGAACAGCAATCAAAGGAAGGAGATGTGACTTGTTTCTGACAGCAAAGCATCCTTCTATCCTAATTTCCTTCTTTCTTTCTTTGCTTTTGTTTTCATCCTTTCCTCCTTCGTTTCTTCTCTCTTTCTCTCTGTACCACCCTTCCTCCTTCTATTTATTTGGTGGTTTTTTTATTTGTTCATTTGTTGTCCCAGAACTTACTATGAAGTCCAGAGTGGCCTCGAACTCACAGAAATCTGTGTGTCTTTACCTCCTAAGTGCTGGGATTAAAGGCATGTATCACCATGTCTTGCACAAACTGCCCATTTCTTAATAAGTATAAAAATAAAAACAGAACTGCAATCTGCATAAGATGCCCAAGTCAAAAAGTGTCTCAGGCACTCTGAGGGAGAAGAAAGAATGTAGACTATTTTTCAATGTCATGTTTTCCTAGTTTGAATGATTTTCAGTTCCAATTCCTTGAACACAGCTCGACAGAGAACATGCCCATGCTCCAATCTGGTTTTCATAAAGTCCAAGAATAACTCTCAATAATGATGCTGAATTAAAGAAAAAGAACATAATGCTGGTCAGCTTCTTGTTTTACACATCCCACAGAAACGATTCTTAGTTTTCAGTTGATGAAATTCTTATGTTCCGTGAGCTATGTTGGAAACTTAGAAAAAAAAAAGTTTTAGAGTCTTAAAATCATCCAGGTGATATCACCAATTGAATTTACCAAACCCCAAATCAATATGGATAAAGGAATGTCATTCAATTGGAAAAACCTGAAATTCAACCACTTGATTGCTTCCGAGTTTCAGTTAAGTCTCCTGCAAATCTCACACAGTTTGTTTGCTGGGATGGACTGGAGAACAAACAGTAAGAGATAACAATGAATTAGAATCCACTCCACAGGCTGGAGCTAATAACCACTTGTCCATTCATTCACTGGTTGTACCTTTATTCACTCATTCATTCATTAAACAATTAGGCTCTGGGTCTGCTAAATGAGTTCAGAACTTTCCCAATATGACAAAGCCCCATCTGGAATCCAGAGTTCTATTTATCTCCAGTACACAGTGAAAAGCAATTTTTATGATATCATCAAGAGGAATAAAAGCACACATACTTATTTTCATCTGATATTTAGAAAATGAAGTATAGTTATGTTAATCAGTGTTTCTCCTATTTTAAGCACATCACACTAATTATAACACATTTGCATTGTGTGATGATTTACATAAATGCACATTCTGCAAATGTTCTACCTTTTTGCTTATGTATCCATCTCCACCTACATCATCATAGTTTTAGGTATGAAAAGTTCGGTAAGCATCTCCAGGGTTTGCCATACATGATATGATATTGTCATTCATATGGAAACACTAAGGCATTTTTTTTCTTCCATTTTTCCAATAATTAATTCATTCAATTTACATCATAGGCCCTTACCTCCTCTCCTCCCAGTCCCACCCACCTTCCCAAACCCCCTCCCCTATTCCTCAGAATAGGGGAGCCCCCCTACCAAGCTCATCTGTTCACATGAGGGCTGAGTATGTCTTCCTCCCCCGTGGCCTGGTAGGGCAGTCCTCTCAAGGGGAAGTGATCAAAAAGCAGGCAACATAGTCCATGTCAGAGATATCCCCCACTCCCCTAACTAGTGGGCCCTCATGAAGCCCAAGATGCACATCAGCTACTCATAAGTAGAGGACCTAGGTCCAGCCATGCATTGTCCTTGGTTGCTGCTTCAGAGTCCATAGGCCCCTCTGCGGCTTGCTTGATTGCCTCTGATGGTCTTGTGGAGCTTTGGTCACCTCCGGGACCATTTATCCTGCCCCCTCTTTTCCAGCAGACTCCTCATGCTTCATCCAATGTTTGGGTGTGAGTCTCAGTATCTGTTTCGAGACCTTACTGGGTGGAGCCTCTAAGAGAACAACTTTGGTTGGCTCCTAGCTACAAGCTTATCAGGGTATTGTTAACACTGATAGGGGCTGGCTTTCTTCCATGGGGCGGGTCTGGCAGTGTGATATTAATGGTGCACCTGGAAAGTAGGGTTAGAATCTGGTCGCTTCCTGAGCAGTTCTTAAGTCCCGCCGGTGTTTGGAGTGATGGTGACAAGCATTTGCGTGATTGGCTTAAATTTTAAAAGTTTTCACCCCAGAGCTTAGGCTCCTTTTCTTTCCATCCACAGCCCTGGCAGTGAGAGTTCTTCAGCTTTGTGGATTTTGCCTCAGCCACCCTCAGGTGGGGGTGGGAGGTCACACTTGGAGCCGTGTGCATCTCTCTGCTGCTCATCTGGCCACTGACTTAACTGCTGTTGCTGAGGGACTGTCATGGAATTTACTGTCCGTCAGTGAAAAGCACAGACGGTGATGGCATTCTCCCACTTAGCTGTCAGGTAAAAAGGAGGACAAGGAAAGGGACCTGCCATGTCAAAAAAAGAAGGGTTGTTTATCTATCTATCTATCTATTTTTTGTCCTTGTTTTTAGCAGCATATTTTGCAAAGATAATTATCTAAGAAAGCATTTTATTAATACTAATGTCACTTTAAAATTAACCACTTTCCTAGGTACTAAAATTGTATGTTAGCTTAGTTATTTAATAAGGCAATTATTAAACTGTAATAAGGCATTATTAAACTAAGATTAAGAAAGTGTAGGCAAGAAAAATTACTTGGAATGAGGCTGTTTTCTTTATTCTTCAGGGCTCTATAAGAATACACATGTGGTCCAGTTCAGTGGTACACATTTGTAATCCTGTCCCTGGTTTTAGAGGCAGGAGAATCAGGAGTTTAAGGCCAGTCTGGGTTACATCGTTATAACTGTCCACAAAGAAATCAAACACATGTGTGTATCAGTATTCTTACATTTAAAAACTGTACTTATTATATTTTATTCTTTAAATTGTTAAGGCCTTTACTTTGAAGAAACTATGGACAGCCTTTACGAATTCTAATAAAGCAGTTCCCCTCAGAGAGAAGGCATGAAGTTGGTGAGAAGTTTTGGACAATGCTAACCATTTCATCAAAGTAAGTGCTCCTGACACTCCGGTTGAACTCTGTTTTTACAAAGCTCGTGATTTCATTGGTGTGGCCATGTTGTTGGTCAAATCAGAGGTCTGGAAATATGAAAAGCCTATAAGTTAAGAGCTTTAAAGCTGGCGACCCTGAATATATTCCACACACAGTGAATAGGGCGACAGTGCTTCCAACAGGAAGAGCATGATTCCTCCCACATCAGAACAGGGAACATCCCAACACTGTGAGGAGCAACCTCTGTTGACAAATGTTTTTCCACCGAGACGCTTACCCAGAGACTACTGAAGACATGTCTCATCTTTCAGCCATAGTCAGGTTGCCTGGTTATAGTCATCTCTCGGCAAATCAACCCTCCTTATCACCCACATTGTCACATGGCCCACCAGAGTGGGTTACACATTCTCCCCCTCTGTTTCAAGAGAACTGTTCGTTTTGCCCCATTCATGGGGGTGAGTAG